TTCATTTTCAGTTGCGGAAATGCTTTTATGTAAACGACTAAGAACAACCTACATTCATTAAACCAGAAATCTATATGGAAACGATTTTTTTTTCGTCATTGAACACAATGCGCGCTGTCACAAAAATTTCATCAATTGAAAACTCAATCGGAGAGGCAAGTGAGAGAGAAAAACACACTCGCCGCATTTTTTTTTTCTTTTTTCTTTTTTTTTGAAATCTTAACATATTGAATGTGGCTTTGGAATATTGTTTGTAATTTACATGGAATTGTTGGTGCCGATGTCGGTGTGCGACTAATAATTTATCGTGCAATATTGTGGCTAATGTAACAGAATAGAAATAGATATATTACCTCGATTTACAGCTAAACAACACAATGGCAATGATATGGCGCGCACATAAAGAGAGAAAGAGAGAATGGAATACACGATGGCGACGACACCAGCAGGAGCTATATTGCTAGCGTAAAAGTCAAAGAGATATAGTATCTCGATGTGTATATATTATTCTCATGTCTCGAACTGATGAAAATGGTGCAGAAAATGGCAAAGAGAAACATAGAAATAAGATCGAATTGATAGAATGAGACGAAAGCTGCGCTTTTCTCTCTCTCTCTCTCTCTCTCTCTCTCTCTCTCTAATCTATTCTCTATAAATAAATAAACAAATAAAAATATGAACGCGTTCAATGTAATGCACATAGTTCCAATTTGTTGGTTGATGGTAGTTCGTATTTTAAATTACTGAAACAGAGACGCAGAGATGTCGCAAAAAAGATAACTATAAATAAATAGTTCGAAATAGTTGAAAAGGAATTGATGTTGGTGTTTTATTGGAAACACCCGTACGTTATATTGAAAAATGCGAAACAATTCCTCGTGCATTTATATGTCATGTGGATGTGGATATGAGTGTAGAGTAAATGAGAAAAATAGAGAGCAAAAGCCAGCCCGTTGAAACGAATGAGTAAGCATTTCGTTAGCTGCTGCTTCTCTCTCCCTCTCTCTGTGTTACTATCATAGTAATCGAGAGATTTGTGCTCTGCTATCGATTTGTCAGTATATTATTAAGCACTGATACGAAACGCGCCAAATGGCAAACAAATCGAGTTACTATCGACAGTAAACATCGCCGCCAATTTAATCCAAGGTGGTTGTTGTTTTTTCCTTTCATTTCTCGCAACTGTATTTCTATTTCTGGAGCCATGCGAGTCTGCTTTTTTTGCATTTCGTACAAGTGAAATTGATACAATGATAGTATTTTTAAAAAAAACAAAGACCTGAACAACACACACCACTTGCACAATGTGATGCGATATTCATCGTTTTCCGTTCATTTTCTCCGCACGCATTGTCTTTGCTCTCGTATTTATTTTGGTGCCGTTATTGTTATTGCGTCGTGGGTTTGACGCAAATGCATACATTCATTACAAGTACTGGTTATAAATAACAGATACAACTGAAGTGAAATTAATTATCACAACCGAACCCATTTGCTCCTTGTTCACAATCCCTTAATTTTGCCTTGAGAATGAGTTTCGCTTGATTGCAACGAAGTGATTGAAATGGTTGTATTTTTAAATAACAATGCAAACGCTAGTCTATTGCGCTGAATGTGCATATATGTAATATGCGGTAATATGTGAAACTGGCATTATTGCCGATTTTTCATCGAGTTGACTCTGTAGAAGATAATCAACAGATCTATTTCATTTTTTATTGAGCAGCATGTTTTTTGTTCGGCCGAATGTCTTCAGTTCATTCGATGAGAACGTCTATTTTGTTGTCAAATATCTGTCACATTTTTTTGTTGCTCTCTTTTATCTGATAACCAGTAGATAATCATTTTAAATATTCCTCAATCTGCATTCGAATAGCCAAACATTCAGGGCCATTTCGTATGTGTATGTGGTTCGATGATAAAACTGTATGAAAAAATTCACGTCGGCATGTATGTAGATCATAACCGAATAAAAAAAGAAGAAAAAATGACAAAAATACATATGATGGTGTGTTATGAAAAATAGAAGTTTTACATATGTAAAAGAGTGAAAAATGTTCAAGCTTTAATGGGCCATTCGAATCAACCAAAAAAAAGTTAAAATATATTTACCACAAATTTTTTTCCTCATTCGATTGGCGAAGGAGGGTCGAAGGGTAAAGGACGCCAAACCAAAACAAAAAAAGAAAAACGAGCGATAATGTTGAATTCACAATACAATAAATCTTACAAAGCCAATACACAATGTCGCCATTCAACTGAGCAGTGCTCAGTCTAAACACATTACACTTTGCACAACGATTTGCTGCACGAAACACATCACAGACACAAACAAAAACAGCCGATGTGGCTGAACATATCAAGTTCATCGCTTCGCAAACACTATACCGAAACGGTGGTGTATTGTTCTTCAATTTTCGTTTTTCTATTCCTTCTCTGGTCGCTTTCACTGGCTATCAACATCATCACAGTCTCGGTGTTTGATTTTCAGTGTGACACACAAAAGCAGTCAATGCTTGTGGCATATATATCTATAGATGTGTGTACGTGTGATATCACTATCTCTTGTTTCAGCATCCAAAGTTGATCTTTGACAACAACAAAAAAGAAAAGAAAGAAAGACACCACTTCCATCGAAAATAAAATTCTTAAGCAACTTTTTATGGTTTGACGACCGACAATCGCAGTCTCGACACATACACATTTAAACAATGGAGAAAACCTCATCCGACATCAACAAAGATTATCGGAACGAATATAGCGGAATAAAGTTTCTGCATAAATACAATGCAAATTCATACGATTATGATAATTCCGCTTCAATAATAATGATATTTATTTGTTTTTCGTACATAAATGCAAAATATTCACATTATTCGTTGCCGCAATGACACAAGTGACAAAAAGAGAAAGAAAGGGCAATCACACACACATAGAGAGAAATTGCGCAGACGACAAATGCCATTGTACAATGGCATCTCGAACGGAAGACAGACGAAAAGCGAAAGAGTAAATTATCCTCGCTTCGCAACAACCAAGATGAATTATAAATAAACCGATAAGTAATAACGGAAAAACTAAGAAGAAACTGTGGAAAGAAGTCTGAGTGGGCAAAACAATAACAGTATTTTCCACATATGCCCACAATATAACGATTGCGATAATCGCAAGGCCAAAATGAACACAAATGTCTGACAATCGGAACAAAAGTAGTAGCGAAACATTCACGAAACTATGTTCGTTGCATATTTGGTTGTGATTGAAAATAATGACAACCACAACGACAATGGCAACAACAAATTCAAAGCAGCACTCTTAACATTGATTTCCCTTCGATAACAACATGATTTGTTAAAACAAAGTTTTTGATGCGCATTTTTCTTACCCCATTTCATAGCAGTTTTTGTGTGAGCACAAAACCACTTATAGACACACATACATGACCTTTTGAAAGACACACTATGCGAACACATTTCTTTTTTCGTTGCGAACACATTCCCGATTGTCTACATATTTCTTTATATTCCGTATGAGTACATCGACTGTTCAAGTATAGGGAGATAGATAGAGTGTATTACTTGTCGTATTTTGAGCGACTATCACATCCACACGTGATATGTGAGTCATAACATAATGTGACAAAACGTTCCCTAGTCTTGAGATGAGCTAGTCTACAATTTGAAAACAATTTGACCCGATTGTTTCGCTTCTCTCTCTCTCTCTCTCTTAATTGTTCTCTTCATTTTGCTCTCTTTAGCTTTATCAACCACTCTATTGACTAATGTGTACATTATTCAAATGAAGTCATGAAATTTATTTTATTTCCGTCGAATTTTATTGGCATTTTCATTTCGTTCGTTTTCATTGGCAAAATAAATTCGAAGTCAATCACAAATGCGTTGTTCATGGTCTTCGAAATTATATCATTAATTTCATCAATTGGAAATGGATTACTACTTAAAAATGTCTTATTGGATGAACATTCTAAATCGAAGATGGTTTTGTATGAAGCACCGAATTCTACGTAGACACTTGTTCAACATTATTCAATGCCATTTTAACAATAGCATCTGAATAATATTATCTCTCAATCATCGACATCATAAAGAAGACCCCGCCATTTTACAATATATATTCCTATACAAATGCGAAAAAAATGAAAGTATGTGTTAGAAACGGAAGAAAATCGAAAAGAAAAAAATATGGCAGAAAATTCACTTGAAATTCGAAGTTTGTTGGATTATACTTTGCCCAGTTTTACCACACAACTTTGGTGCTGGATGCGCTATACCATTTTACCTCCAACCGCGCGTGCAGAAAGCAGTTTTGATTTTACCACCGACAGAGATTCAAAAAGGCACTTTTAACTCAAGATTGAAAAAAAAAATATACCATACGCCACAACGGTGTTTTAAAAGTGAACTAAACCGTCCATCAACGAATAGAGAAAAAGAAGCCCAAGAACCAACAAAGAAAATTCGATTGATATTTAGATGAGAAAAATGAAAGAATATATATGAAATATCAAGCGTTATTATGGCTTTTCATTCCTCGTTCAAGGGCAAAAAAAGGTCTTGAGAAAGAATGAAAAAAAAAAACAGTACACAGACACTCAGTGTTAGAAAAAAAACCTTGAAGAGTTATTCTCGTAATTCTTATGGCATTTGTAGGCCATGTCCTTCGAATCTTTTTTTTTATTGCGTAACCGATGATTTTCACATGCATGAAATATTTTCTAAAAGGATTACGTTTTTTTTCCCTCCAGGATTCAATATCATCATTAAGCATCAAAAGTGCTTAGATCAATGAAAAGGGACGAGCAAAGCGTGATTCAGTAATGTGGTTGAACATCCACTTAATTCAATGAACGTTAAAATTGAACAAAATGACTGAAAAGAGCATGAAAGACCATCATCAAATTAAATGCGAAAATTAAAAATCGAAGACTGACTCAATCAACTCATCAACATTAACTGTATAAATAGTGTGAGTGTATTCAGTGAATAAAAAAAGAGAAACAAAATCAAAATTGGAAAGATCCATGACAAGAAAAGAACAATTCGTAATCAATGCGCTTAATTTATGAGAAGCGAATTGAAATGCAGTTGGTATGCAATGAAAATATGCTATTGATAAAAGCACAAAAACTCAATTTATTGTTATAGCTTGTTTGGTTATTCTCTATTGATTTGTGTAAATGTGTAAAAAATTTAGGAAACCTTCTTCCGCACATAGACAAAAAAATACCGAACTTTATTTCGTTTGATTTCCTTCTTTGCACACGGTTCATTATTACTGTTTGGGTTTTAGTGTATCTATATAATACCCAATACACCCGATCAACAACTCTCACCCTCTCTAACCGAATCTCATTCATCTCGTGACTTGAATCCATGCCAAGCATTTGAGAAAGAGAGTACACAACTAAATAAGAAAAAAAGAACACAACCGATTGAATTCAAACAACAACAAGAGAAATTCGTTAAAGGATCACAAGCAGTAGATGAAAAACTTTTGTTTAATTTGAAATAATTCTTTGTGAACCAAAGACATCAACATCCAACGAAATAAAAAATTCACAAGCGTTACAAAAAAAAACACACACAACAACTGATAAACACACTGCTTACAGTTGACAAAAAACTACAACCCCCAATTTCGTTCGTATTATTCGTTTAGGATTTTGTGTAAAATCAAATCACGGCCAACGAGAGCACAACTATTTTGGTTTGATGTGAAAAAGTGCTACATGTTTTCGTTGTGCAAGATATAGAAAAAGTGCAGTTTTCTTATTTGTATCTCTGTACGTATATATGACGTCGTTTTTGACTCCAATAAGCTCTCTTAGAAAGCATCTGCCACCAAAAACGAAAAGTGTGCGCTTTAGCAACATTTTCAATGGCAACAAGTTTCCTATACTTGTCATATATTTAGAGAGAGAGAGAGAGATAGAGCAAAAAAATTGCACATCAACATCCTGAGCCGAGCTGAGCCGAGACAAAACCGAAAACAATACACAAAAAATCAAGAACGAAACAAGAAAAGTTTTCGTAAATGTGAATGTATATGTATTGTGTTTTTCAACGACAAAAAAAAAACAGAGAACGAAATAACAAAACAACAGAAAGCACTAAGAAACATCAAAGACAAAAATAGATAAAGAACATAGAGAGAGAGAGAGAGAGAGAGAGAGAGAGAGAGAGAGAGAGAGAAAGTACGTCGAACAAAAGATTGAAAATACACAGTGAGTGAGATAAATTTAATAACTCAACTAACAATCGAATTTATACTTTAGAGAATTGAAACTAAAAAAGGGCAAACACAAGAAAAAAAGTTTTACAAAAGGGAGAGAAAAAAATCGACAAAAGACCAGTGGCAGCATCAATAAAAAAATCTTCCTCCCCAAAGAAACAAAGAAGAAGTAAAATGTTATTTCAGTGCAACGTCTGCTTCTATTCACTTACCAACTGGTGAAAACTCATTCGTTCAATCGAAAGAGATAGAAAAAATATTGTTAAAATAAAAGTGCTCAGCCACACTCAACATACACCGAAAGCACTTTGCTTCAACGGTGACTTTTTTAGTGATGGTGATGGAGTTTCCATAAAAAACATATTAAAGACAGCAGTGAAAAAACAACAACACAAAAATCAAATCCCAAAACGAAAACATCAATCAAACATTTTTTTTTTGATATTTTTCACAAAACTATCGATACTATTAGATAACTAACGAAAAGGCAATAAAAACAATAACTATTGCTACAAACCATTTTGTATGGCAGCATATTGCTATTGACAGGTAAGAATAGAATTGCAAAGAAAACCGCAAAACGTCTTTCAGTTTGTTAATCGAATGAAATCAATTGAATCGAAAAAAGCATCAAAAACTCTTTTATTCTTTTTAATATACTGTATCATATCTTCTGCAATTTTTCGTTTTATTCTGATTTATCCATGGTCGCCATCATAAATTGTGGCAAACAAATGTATATACGTGTACGCATATATTAGTTGAAAGCTTTTACATTTTTTAAACGAAAAATGTAATCTTTTGGTAAGTGAAGAAAATTACGATAGAAAAACAAAATTAGAGCGTTTTAAAGAAAAATTATATAATTCCCTGGCTTATATTTCAGTTGGCGCTCAAGCCACCCATTCCACCAATATAGTAAAATTCTTTCAAAAACTGTTTCCTTTTGTTGCACGAACAAAGTGTTTGTCGAATGAAATGAAAAACAGAAATAAAATGAAGAATTCTTCTATAAATTTGTATAAATAAACTACATTTGGCATTAAAAGCCAGGCGATGAGATAGGAAAGGGGCGGAAGAATAAAGAATGAAAAATAAATATTTCAATGAAAAAGAAAAGTAAAATGATTGCAAACTCACAACGCCCCAAAACACTGAGAATGGAACGGCCAAAAGCGGCACAGTGAAATATAAACGAGAAGAGAAAGAGAGAGAGAGAGAGAAACGAAGAAATACTGAATAGAATGCCAAACCACTTAAATACCGTTATTAATCACATTTAGTAGACAGATATTAATTTGATATCATTCTACTCGCTTTTCATTTTTTTGCTGTGCTTTTTTCCTTTTCTTTCTATCTATTCTACTTTTTCCGCTATCTTTGGTCGTGCGTAAAGAGGTTAAAATGGCAGAGTGTTTTTTCCCTCTCATTCTCTATTTTATTTTAAAACGGTCTTTTGCTTGAGAAAATCTTTTTGATTCTCATGTATGCATTCGATTCCATTTTGCGGAATATCTTTGCTCCCGTTGGGGGCCAACCAAACTGAAATTGTAAAATGACTTCATTTAGAGACATTGAGCAAATAGAGTGCGAGCGCGTGAGAGATGGCATAAGAATATAAAAAAGCCAACGAAAAATGAAACGGGAAAGAAATCGAAAAATAACAATTTATTTCCGGATTTAGGGTAAATGTGTCCTGTTCGATTAGTGGTTTCAATCTGCAACGGCTGCAACAACAAAAATAACACCGAACAATAATTTCCATACTGAACTAAATCCAATTATCTATTCTCGATGTCGGAACCGAGAGAAACACAAGACCCAATCAAACGACAAAGAAACGAAGCAAAAATTGTATGTATGAGCGCTTAAAAGCGCATTTAATAAAGAGCGCACAGTCATTTTGGAAGCATAAATCGAACATCTAATTCGGTCTGGCCTAGGTTGCTAAAAAACACTACGTATTTTCAAACGTATTCATTGTATCTGCTTCACATATAGCGGATATGCAAACTTTCCATTTGCATTCCATTTCCATCGGCGTACAAAATAAAAAAAAATCGAACATACCGTTGTTCACTCTAAAACTATGCTCATACACATATATTTAAATTGTATGAGTTTTATTTTTGGAAAAATTCACCACTTCAACATAGAGCGCTTGGTATTTTTCGCCATGCGATCACAAAGCCCACAATTGATTATATTTCAAGTTCAAATTTATTACACTCTTTTAAATGATTTCTTTCGTTCACTTGGCAGTTTCATCTCCGGCACCTAAACATAAATTGAAATTATTCCCTTTGAAAATACTGTCAGTGCATTCTTCTCTCTCTCACACACACACACACACACTCACACACTATGAAAACGCACTCTTTATATTCGTTGATCTCATCCGATATACTTATGCAATATTTTCCATTATCTTGGTTAACTTAAGAAAAGGTCGTATGAACGAAAGAAAACGAATGATATTTGCCGATTCTTTTGGATGACGACAATTTGCTATAATGTTCAAGATAAAACTAAATGAAATGTGCTTGAAAAAGATAGAAAAAAGATCAAGAGGAAAATGTGGCCTTTATGGCAACTACAACTGATAGAATTACGTTCAACGTTAATATTAACGGTAGTGGTAATATCTCAAATATCGAACAAATCGCGTTTCCATCGTCATTCATCATTGGCTGAGATTTTTTTCATGCTGAGCCGCGGAAATCATCTTATGCATTTTAATATTCTACACATACAGACAAACACACATTTCAATTATGCGTTACAAAGAATTATTGGTACATAAAAAGTGAAATGATTTTTTTTAAATATGAGACACACATGTACCAAATGATTCTCCAAGACTTTATTTTAATTATAGCGATAAAATGTCTTCAACAAAAAAGAAAAAACCGTTGGTGAACCATCTGAAGTAAACATAAAATAAGCTAGATCATGATGAGCTGTACGTAAATACAATTTGAAGATGTACATTAAAGCTCTCAACGCACAATGACAGTTTATTGTATTTGAATCATTCGAGAGTGTTTGTGTGTATTTATGCCAAGAGATAAATGTGAATTTAATTCCATGGGAAATGATGAAATGAAGTTTTTTTCAATAGATAATAAAACCGTGCATACCCTTATTTCATTAACAGCACCTTCGACCCCCTCGCGCAAAAAAAAAAATCGGATATAAAAGAAAATTTGTTCAAAATGTCCGAACACATTTATTAAATAAACGGGCATTTTTTTCTCGTCACTTCTATTCAGACCGCATTGGGAAAAAAATCGCATGAGTCACGATGTACTCTCCTGTCTGGTCGTTTATTATTTTATCTAAACAACATTTGTGTCATTTTGATTATGTATACATTTTGAGATAATACGTGATAAAAAATGTTAATGCACGCTCAGCGTGTACGCTGAATAGAAAAAAAGGAAACAAAAAGGGGCGTTTGACAGCGTTGATTATTTTTGATGCGAGCGCACAAAAATAAACCAACATCAACATCGAATTGAATAACAATATAAGTTCATTTCGAACTAACGAATTCACACTGAAAACAGTTGAATAAATTACACGACGATTTCACTCTCCCTCTCTCAAAATTACTTATATTTTGATTTGTAAATTGTTCATTATTTTCCTTTTTTAAAATTTGCATCCAGTGTAGTCACACTTATGTTTAAGCGCACTTTGATTTTGTGTTTATGAGAGAGTGAGAGAGTGCGTTAGCATTTTTAACCGAATCAGCGAAATTCTCGCGAATGTCTTCTGTCCCTGTTTTTTTTTGTGTGTTTCAAATTTCAATATATGGACATTAGCATGTGCATAATGTGTACGTGCACACGAAGAACATAGAAACAACGTGTTCGAATCAATACATTGGCAATCGAACAAAAATTATCCACGTAAACTCAACATATCCATGTAGAATACATAAGCATTCATGTTTCGTATTTTGATGTCACCGTTTTTGCTTTACTCGTTTATTCGTTCAGTGTGTGTGTGCGCGCGTTTTTTTAAATATCATCATTGTTGAAATTCTATCCTGTGTACAATTACGAACGCAACGACTAAATTGCATGTCGCTCACTTTTTTTGAAATTTTTGCTCTTCTGTCAGTAAACACACAGAGGATTTCATAATAATAATGGTATTAAATGAAAAATCTGAAGAAAAAAAACAGAAAAAACTCTCATACAGAATTTGTTGATAAAGAAAAAATATTGACTCGATATAGTGAGAGTAAACAAACGAAAAAGAATCGACCCGCAGATATTACCATTATTTTTGCCATTTGCTCATCAGCAATCAAAGTACGTACATAGAATGCTATGATAAACGATATGCTGTGCTATCTTTCATATTAATATGGGTTTTAGATATGCTAAAATGCTCTTATGATATCGAAACACGCCCATCATTTTAATGATTGAAATTTTTCTCTTTCGCTGTCTTAATATTTCGAAATTCGAATACCACATTCAAAACGGTTCTGATTCACGAGCAAAATGCCCAATACCCAGAATTTGTACACAAACACAAAGAGCAAAACAGCGATGGGTGGTTCCAAAGGCTATCTCTAATCTAATCTCTTTGAAAAATAAACGAAAATTCCAACTAATTTAAATCAACACTATTTACAATGTTAAAACTAACGGCTTTTTTTTCACGAGGATACTCTCTGGTGTATCGTTGTCAGTGTAATGAGAGCGAAAAAGAGATGAAAACACACACAGAGGGAGATAGAAAGAGTTAGAGTACAATAAAAAAATCGTCCAATCCTGACTTAAAATGCAGCTATTTTGACTGGTGGTATTGCATTGACTTATATATTTAACCAGTGATTTGCAATTCGAAACTATAAATAGGGTGTGTGTGCGTGAAAAAATGTGCTGCGTAAGCTGACCATTGTCGCATGCAAACGTATGTTCAGAATTGAGTGTTTTCGGTTGAAACAACGGTTGGACCTTTGATGTGAGAATGACAAGTGTTCGTCCGCATAAATGTATCAGTATCTATTTTTATATTGGTGCACAAACCAACAAAGTAACTATCCCATTTCAAATGCGATGCCAATGCACTTTTCAATTGGGTTGAAAATCTATAAAATTCATTTAATGTCGCATGAAAGCTTCTCACATAATACACACACACACAAACTCACATGTAAATAAACACAAACCTATTGAACATTGTACAAGCGAAGCAATGGAAGTAATTTGACAACATCTCTTTGGCTTGTATATACAGACGTTACGTTATTGTTAAAATGTATAGAATATCGAAATATATTTGAAGCAATTCTTGGCACATATGCATGCACAAAACGAGAGAAAATTCAGCTATGCTCCTTTTCCCGGTTCGATGTCGACAAAAGTCTCCGAACGCATCGCATTTTAATGACTTGTTTTCCAATTCGGTTATTATTATTGTTTGTAGTCGACTGCACCAAAAATTTTCAATATATAAAGCACATACAGTCCCAATGCGATATATACCCATGACAGCAGAAGCAAAAGAGAGATAAGAGTGAGTGAGAG